CCTGTATATTTAAAAATTATATCAAAATATAGCTCTCATGAACTCCTAAAACTTTTGTATGAAACATTTTTGTGTATCTCCTTCAACAAACCATCTATTGCCTGTCACATAAAATGTGGGACACCCGGTATATGAACCGGCCTTTACAAGATTTAGTTCACGTCACCCACTCACTTACATCACTCTATTCCAATCTTAAGAAATATTTCTCATATAAATCTATCGAATTTTATAGTCTTCATTATTGAACTATATGAAATTATCTGCGACCATATTCAAAATGGAAATGATTGCATTTTTGTGACCCGATATCTTCAATATTTTTTTTTATATTTGTGATGCACTATTTGGAACCTTTGGTGTAGTAATGAATACTACTGGAGTTTTTTCCCAACACCAAATTGATATTTCAACACCTCGGCACGTGTTTCGATCACCAAGTGATCATCTTCAAGAGGAAGATGAAACCCTTGAAGATGATCAAGAGGAAGATGTCTAGTAAAAAATTAGTAAAAAATTATCCAATACGAACCACTAAGTCTACAGTCCACTTGGACTAGTTTGCTGCCTGTTCATTTCTATGTATTGCTTTTTTGGCCTTTGAGAGCGCCGTCAACTTTAAAAGTGCACAATATCGTTCACTTCGACTCTACTCAGCCAGTAGGTTCTGGTAATGTGGTGAACTACCTGATTGAGTTCATCGTGATCCTGCTGCTGGATGATCGAGAAGCATCTATAAAACTAATCACTGTGAGTTATCTTGCATATAAGTCTGTCAGATGAAATCCAATGTCCATCATGTTATCAGCCGAAGAAATAATTGTTTCCCGGCTGACATTTACCAGAACCTACTGTGTAGGGAAAGATTCCATTTCGAAATATCCATTTTTATATGCATGCATCTTTCCTCTCAGGCGAAGATTTCATACATGCATTCGAGCCACGTCGAAGTTAGTCGAGTTCCAAACACATTGCAGTTCGGGTGCTCCTCTCGGATAGTTCTCAGTAAAGGGACCGTTCAGAAAGAATTTCTCCACTGTCAATTGAGAGAACACCTGAACGAAATAAGGCTGTACAACAGAGACCTCAACTGCAAGCAATGCAATAAAGGGACAGAGACAGCTCGTCATATAATATACAAATGAAAGGCATTGAGCCACAGAAGGTAAACAGTGTATGAACAACCTAAATTTTGCCCAAAAGAATATGACATTCATCCAGCAAGGGACCTGTACAAATTAGTTCAGGACATAAGATTGTTGACATGGCTTTCATGAATACGATGGGAGAAAAACCGAATAAGCCACGTATTGGTAGAAACATACAAGTCAAACGGCTCCTAAGTAGTAGAAAAAAGCATATACTTGGTGGGGTTGGGGGATTGTGTATTATAATTCAATATACATTCTTTGACATATTTACTTACTTTGCCGTACTTCCGGTTTGACCGGAAATAACCCCAACTTTCAATTTTTAAATGGGACATCCTATATATTTTTACTTATTTCTATTGAGAATGACGTTCTAAATCCAACAATATTCTACTCGTCAATATTTGACAAATAAAATAATTTTCATTCCAATTTTTATTTTTTGATCTAGATTGCCATGGATCATGTAAAGCGCTTCAGTCTTGATTAAGTAACATGGGAAAACTACCACTTTGAGGCTTATGACTCCACAGTCGATTTAAGAATTATTTTACAGTCGCAAATATGCATTTTTTCAGTTAACTTGATTTTTTCAAATGGAAAGGGGATGGCTTTCACTTTATTTCCTCTATTCTTCTGAATAATTATTCCTGGTATAATGTATCTTGCATGAATGTCTGTCAGGTATGATTTATTGTCAATCATGGTACTAGCCGGGGAAGCAGTTGTTTTCCGGCAGGAATTTATCATTATGTAGCTACGTTAGGAGAGATGAATGTTTTCACCGTTTCAATTAATAATTAATTCCAATATTTCAATTTCGAATTAGAAATAACTGAGAATTCAAAATTGTAGATTTTAATTGAATGAAATTGAGTGGAACTAGATGAACTTCTTGTACAGTCTAACGTAAATTTATTCTGCGTTCAACTGTGTTTGTGTAATTGTTTCTCTCGATTACTGTATTGTACTTTAGACACAAACTGTCTTTCCTTGATAGATGTTTTATAGTGTTACCTTATACTGGGTTAGAAACAAAAAACTTTTAATCGCATTCAAATTTTCCTATCTGATATGTTCTGGTTTTTCGTTAACTAGCTGTCGCACCCCTGCGAACAACAACTCTCAAAAGTTTTAACTTATACGAGCTAAGGACTAATTTGATCTTCCTTTTTAACGTGTGATTCCTAACAAAGGTTGGACGATAGAAAGTGAAAATCTATTGATTTCAAGTTGAACTCCAATTTTATAATTTCGTAAACCCAATTATGTCCATAAAGAAAATGATTGTGTTGATTAAAAACTAATAAAATTCTAAAAATTGCGTAAAACAATGTAATGCATTCTAGGAAAAGAAACCCAGTAAATAAAAACTTATCTATGACATCTCTTCTCATGAAAACGCCAGATTTGGAAGTGATAGAGAACTTAATCTTGGAATATCAAAGTTAAACGGGGCTTTTCTTTGCAAAGCCAAGTTTTGATGTTGACCGTCTAACGAGATTTGTCTCTTTTTCACTTCCATTCAATTATTTGAAACCGGAGTCCAAAAACAAAACATTCATGATCCCTCTATTTCGTGATGCTAGGCTGAATGCGTATGCATTTCTGAACCGGCATAGTTTAGTCCAGCAGTTCATTCGTGGTTCAGCCTTTCTATGGTTCCAACTAATTGATTTGCAGTAAAAGACAAAATTTCATTCGGCTGTCGATTACAACGATATTCGTGTATTGAGTCCTTTGTCGATTATATAGATGGCGTTGTCATAAGGGGAGATATTATTTATTAATAAGTTTCAAAAAAAATTATTTGGCAATAATCTGCATAGGTGATTATTTTAGAATTATTCCCTTAATGAAAAGCAATAGCTTCAAAAGTTATTACCTTCTTCAGCCTGTGGTTCTCCTGTTATCATTTTTCTGATACCACTTCGTCCTTCAGCTTCTCTAACCCTCTCCATCATTTTTTGCATCTCTACTGGATCACTCAGCGGACTGTAGGGTGTTGGTGGTGGAGGTGGAGTTGGAGGTATTTCTACCATTTCAATGGGAGAATCAACAATTCCATATTCTTGGAAAATCTGATCAGCTTTCGTTATTGGTGTCCTTTCTCCAGCCCCAGGTGGTGGGGTGAAAATATCTCCACCGAAATCTCGCAGTGGTGTTGTTACAGGACTTTCGGGAGAAATAAGAGGGGATCTGAAGCTCATATCACCAGGACATACCGGTGACCCACATACTGAGGGGGAAAATTCAGCACCGGGTACTAGGAAAGGTTGACCTTCATCCAAGAACGGAATATCTTCTGGTGGTGTTTGTGGAACATATTCATATTCAGGATATCTTTCTGGACTAGGTGCAAATGGGGGTTCTTCATGTAAGTCAAAGAACCACTGATCTGGATGAACATCGGGGAGTTCAGGTCGGAAAGGAGAAGGAGGGGTTTTAGGCCTCTCAGCCAGATGAGGAGGTGTCTTCCATCCCTGAACCACAGTTGGTGGCCTTATAGGTGAAGGAAGATTAGCTGGAACCCACGTATCTAGAATGCTAGGCTTTGGAGGACGTTCGGGGGGACTCAAGGGAGGCAGATTACTACGAGCTAGAACTTCTGCAGCATATCTGTCAGCTTCAGTTAGCTCACCAGGATCAGGTTGGGTGAAATCAATTCTTCTCCCCACTGTACTTTCAGTTAAACGAGATCGTCTGGCTCTCTTGGCTCCTTGTGCTTCGAGTAGATCACGTCTTGGTTCAAGTCGCCTTCTCTCTATACGAGGTGTGCCAGCTGTGGCAGGGGGTGGGGTAGCTTGTTTTGGCGTTACTTGCTTAGGTGAAACTTGCCTAGGTGTTGCTTGTCTAGGTGTTACCTTTTTTGCAGCAACACGCTCTGGAGAAGGAATTTTCGGAACAGCCCTTTCTCTTCGAGAAGACCAACTTGGTGATAATATTCTATCTAATTCTTCATATGCAGCTGCATTTCTCATTCGAGTCCTCCTCAAATATTCTTCCGTAGTTAGGGGTAACGGCTCCTTTGTTACTATAACAGAAAAATTATATTAATTTTGTAATAGCCTTCTTTATACTATAAAATGAGTAATCATGACCATCTTCAATTGAACTTTATAGAAAAATTTATACTTGTTATTGTTGATATATCTATCCAGATGCATAGAGCTTCCATAATAAAAGTATTTATTTGTTTATATACTGAAAACATGCATCTTTCTACGAACAAGAACGCACACAATCAAACAGACATAAACACACACCCAGCCACACACACACACACACACACACACACACGTTCAGTATGTACCACAAAAGTGAACCTAAACAAGCAATCCAAAACTTAAAAAATATCCTTTTTCTGTAATGCCAAGGAGAACAAACAAATCTGTATTCCACTATTATGTCTGACTAATATTGATGAAAAAGGTAAAACTATTTTGGAAGTATATTGAATATATATTGCAAATTTACTTTCATATGAAACTTTCAGAATTCTGAAAATTATGAGTTGTTCAATGATGTGTTAACGAAATTAAAGAAATATAGATGTCAAAGTATAAAATTGAATATTTATGGATTTGAAATTAAACTTTACCCCATTTCATTTGATTGTGAAAATTAAAGTCAAGTGGAGTGTCAGAGGAAGATATTTACGTAAATATTCAAGACCTACAGAATCAATGGTTCTAGTGATTGTGATGTAAACATTTTTTTAAGTTCTTCCTTGAGAAAATGAAAAGTTTCCACCTTGGCAATGAACGACAGACTGTGGAAGAACATAACGCAAATTATCGCTGTTTGTCAGATGGATCTATCAATACTCAATAATATTATTATAAAACTTTTCATCCTACTAACGATCTACAATGTCTCTCCTTATATCGTCATCTTCTTCGTGAATTATGGGGGGAGATTCTTCCAATATTCCAGCTCCAGGTGACACATACATTGGAGGAATGTACTCTTCTTCAAAAATACTTCCTGGACTTGGTTCTCTTCCAGGTGGTGGGGATACAGGTCTCAACGGAACGGCTGCAAAAAAAATTGAAAATGAATTGAAACAAAGCAAAATAGTTTTGAGAAATTGATTTGGAAAGTTGTATCGTGACACTTGTAAATTCTTCACTATTCCTTCAGAAAATGGTGATAGTTACTAAAAAAAAAATAGCTATTTGACTCCTTCAACTAATCTGTTATCCCCACATGTAAAAGATGATTCTTGTATAATCCAATGTTCATATTTTTCTTTCGTGTAATTCAATGTTTATATGAAAGTAGTTGTTTTGAGAGGCTTTTCTCTTCCAGTTTCTGTCTGAAAGTTGATTCTTTAGATGATATAAACATCTTTGTAAATAGTTCATCATGAAATTAATTGCTTTCTTCTTTATTTTCAAAATTTCCCACATTTTTTTGATAAATATGCCAAAGTACAAAGCCAAAACCTCACTTTTCCCAAAATTAATCATCCCTTAAATTATACCCCTTTCAATTTGATGAAATTACTTTTACTGCAAAACTTTTCTAAATGTATTCATTTTGATCCGTTTGATAAACATCCTGAAAGAGGAATTCCTTATAGTTATTTGAATGAAGAATAATTGCTTCATTTCTAAAGTAATTAATTGATGTATTTTTCTCCCCTCTCAACTGTCAAAATTAGTTTTCTTGTGACGATTTCTGAAGACAAAGCATATAACATAACTTAATTTGGAAAGAAGAGGGTTTTTAGGTGATTTTTCAGTTTTTTTTAACTGGTTTCTAGAAACATGTTTCGAAGTAACTGGTAGTTCGTTATTGAATGCTTTCCATAATTCATATCAATTTTATTGCCAACAAGAGTTTTCGATTTTCTAGTATGATATTCACGGATGCTTTCAACGTCCTCAAACGTCAGTTAAAATAAATCAATTTGGTATGTTTAGGAATATACATTCAACAATTAACAAAAAATGCCAATGATTTTTCCAATGAGATTGTTCAATTCAATTCAGTTTATTGTCTCAAGAAACAATAAATGCTCCTAATTAGGGACAATAACTAATTACAGAGTATAATAAAATAACAGCAATAAGGGAATAAGATATTTTTTCTACGGATGCTATAAAATGTGCCACTTCTCTCATCGCTTTCATACGTTCAAAACGAAACATTTCTCACGCAGTGAGAAATATCCCCCATTACAGTGAGAAATAATTTCTCATTGTTATCACGATAACCCAAGTCAGTCATGAATTGTTACATGTCAGATTGATATGACAGGTTCTCCATGTTGACAATGCTACTCCGACGATTCGCGTGCAATATCCAAGTAGCCCATTGTCGGCGTTTCCATAACAACATAACCGAAACACTGCACTGCAATAATTATTATTGCTGTCAACTAACCCAACGAAAATAGTTTTATTGTCGATTGTTATAGTATAAACAGTTCAGATTTATTAAATATTGAATATAATGGAATACGAAGATTTACTGTTGGAAAATACACCTCCAGAAATTGTTCAGAAAACAATAGATATTTGCAATAATTTGCTACCAAGCACATCAAGAGAAAAATGAAATCGCTTACAGAAACTTTATGGACTGGAAAATGAAAGCCAAGGTAAATTCTTGTTCCGAAAATACCTTGTTAGTTTATTTTGAAGAGTTGTCAAGAAGATTGAAAT